CAGAGAAAACGAAACATTCAGGAGCTTGCCCTGAGGAGTCGATTATGCTCTGAAAGCGAGGAAAAGTAACGCCCCCTTTGCTACAGAAAACTATACTCGACACTGAAAAGATGGTTAGAGGAAGGAATATTATCGACACATTGGAAATCAAAATTTAAAAGCAAATTTTACTACGGAATTTCAAGTTATGTTTTTCAGTTAAAAATGAGAGAAGCTAGTAGATGATTTTGAAAATTTCGTGAGAATATTAAAAAAAGAATTGAAGAAATCTACGTAAAATCGCCAAATCTCCTTAAAAGAACTTAAAAAAATTTCTGAACTGAAATAAACGAAATGATACTAAATGAGATCATTGTGGCTGAACTAACCCTTTTGAAGGCCGTGGTAAGTATACTTAACACCACGTTTTACCACTTTTAATTTAGGTTTCCATTTTTCAATAACTTCAGCTTTCTTGAAGTTAGTTTGAATAAAATTGGTAACCATTTGTCACTTTTAAAAAACGTATAAAAGTTATAAAATACATAATTCCAAAAGTTATAAAATAAAAGTTTGTAGCATTTAAAGAATTTATTTTATAAGTAAAGAAAAATAAAAGTCAGTAAGTTCCTAATAGGTCATGTTAAATATATTTACCACCAAAAAAATGGCATTTTTATAAACTAAATGAGTTCTTTTTTTTAATATAAATTACTGTTCGTAAAACAATTTCAATTCCACAAATACTTTAATTTACCTTTACTAGAAGTAAAGGGCCCGTTAAAGGGTTAAAGTTTATAGATATTTCCTTCAAATTTCTTTCTCTTATTTTTTAAATTACTGATATTCCTGTAGCTTACAATCAAAAATTTCTTTTAATAGTTTACTAAAAACATAGAAATATTAGATAAACAAACTATTAAAATATAAAAAATGATTTTTATGACCTTGATTAGAATCAAAGTTGGAGATTAAATTTTTATAAAGGATAGGAATATTTATTATTTTCAATACAAAACTGCTTTATAATTTTCTTATACCAATTAGTTTTTCATTCCCCTGTTTCTATTTTTTTACATGGAAGTATTTGTTTATATTTTTTTAGTGTTTCAGTCTTATGATTGTTATAATTTAAATTTTCAATAAGGAAAATCTCCTTTAATAATAATAATTCAGCAACAGTTATAATATATTTTCTAAGCAAAAAATGTCATCATAACATGAAATTGTTTTTTTTTCTTCTTTTAAATAAAATATTTGTTAGTGGCTATCAATTTTTTTTTAAATTTTAGAAATGAATTTAGGCAATATGTACAAAATTATTGTTAATATTTTTACATTCATTAAAATAGAAAAAGCTTTAGATTATTACTTATTTGTAATAATTATTTTAATTGTACCAATAATATTTTTTTATTGTTTTTATTTTAGAAAAATATCAATTTACAACATTTGTTTTTTAAACTTTTGTTTACATTACATTCACAAAAAAAAAAAAAAAAAAAAAAAAAATGCCTCGCAGAAAGCCGGTAAGGTCAATACATTAGAGGAAAACTACTATTATTTGAAACTCATAATTCAAATTTTCTGTCAAATAATAATTTTAAAATATAAATAATAATATAAATAATAATAATATAATAATAAATAATAATATAAGTAAAATAATAATTTTTAAAATAATAATATAAATATAAATAATAATTTCAAAAATAAAAGGAAACAAAAAATATTGTTCAATTGCTGTTGACTGACATACGAAAAACCCCTTTCCCAGAATTGTATAGCAGTTTCAATAAATGAGTAAAACGAACCAACCCTCTGAAAAACAAGTTTCGGGTTATATTTAGAAGTCCCCTTCTACAAGAACTTATTATTTCATCAACTGCAACACGTCTTTACTGATTAGACGTACGGCTGGACAAATTATTTATTTTAATATTTCATCTCAATCTTTCTCATTCGCTAGCACTTTTTTTTAAAACAAATCAGTTAGGATAACGAATTAGTTAGGATGGAAAAAAAAAAAAACTCAATGTGATGAAATTTCAGACTTTTTGGGGGCCCTATTGGAGCTCGGGGCCCTGAGTCAGTACCCATTGGGCCCATCCTTAAAACGGCTCTGGCGGCCCATCATTATCGCCACAGTCTATGCGCTTACACTTAAAATTTCAATCAATGTAATTTAATTTACTCACATGAGCAAATATCATTAAGTTAGACGTTTTTGTTTCATTAAAGTTAAAGAATTAAAAAAAAAACTTATGCAAAATGAAAAGGAATTCTAATCCAAATTTTTTATTATTTATTAAAAAATTAAAAATACAGTAATGTTAAAATCATTTCTTACCATTTTCATTCTTTAAGTAAATAGGGATTATAGTGAAAAATTATTTTTATATGCAATTATAAAACTCAGTTTCTGTGTCTTTAATTTAAAACTAAATAAATACATATGCTTGATGTCAGTACTCCTATAACATATATTAACACAACTGAAAGAAAGTTAATAAAATCTGCAAGGATATATTATTTTATTCTTTTTTTAAAATTTTATTATTTTTTAAAGGAATTAATTAAAAGCTTTGATGGGCTTATCTTTGCTGGAAAATTTCTTAAAAGGCTACTGCTATGCTGAAGATAATTCCCTGAATTAAATTTAAGCTAGAATAAGCAAAACAAAAAAATTAACAACTTAAGTTTTTTTACATTTATAATATCTAAAACTATTTGACATATAAAATTCATGCAACTTTTTTTTCCACTTAACATGAAAATAATATATTTATGCCCTAAAATTAAGATAAATATGGTTAAAAAAATGAAAGAACAAAATTATTTTGTATTCATAACGCATCCTTTTACTAAGTAATGTCAGGCATCCATAACTCATTCTAACCTCTTTTTATACCGAACTAAAAAATCTCTAGTATTCAGAACATTCTTGATAAATGTTTCAGTGAGTTACGTTATTTTAAGGCACATTTTTATTAAGCTACAATTTGTTAAGCTTAATTAAGCTTAATTTGTTATGCTTATCTTTGCGCTCACATAGTTATTTAACATCTAAAATTGTTTGATTTGATCACGAAAATTCAAACGAAAACAAAAACGTAATGGCTTTCAAGATGAATTCCACTGACTCCTCGTTTAAGATGAAAACGAAAGTATGTGTTTTTCTCTTAAAAATAACTTAATAATTAGCAATCTTAAAAAAATAATAAAATGTTTTCTGCTAGTTTTGAGGAATTCTGAATGAATGCGATTGTGAACCTGATTGGTGGAATATATTTACCCGCAGAAAACTCACCAATAAAGTTCTCATTTACATGTCTGAATTCACATTTGCATATTTTTTTATGCAGCGTGAATGGCCCTATTGAAGTAGAAAGTCCATTAGTTTCTGTCTTTATTCTCCAACTGGTTAAATGTTTCTATAATTTAGGAAACTAAATGGTACTCAAAACTACATTAAACACGATTCTTAAAGTAAGTAGTGTGGAAATTATAAAACAAAAATGGTTTCGACAAGTTAAATGTTTTCGAGGTCAGTTGTAGTTCATTTACTTCTCACTAGAGCTGCACAATGGGCTATTGGCGATGGTCGGGGATTGGCAATTGGCGATCATCCTAAAGGCTATATGACACGAGGCAACATAGTTGAAAGCAACTAGCGGTTTCGGTGAAGTTGAAACGTGTCATATGATGGTTGCACGGTTGCTTTCAACCTGCTTTCAACTAGCAACTGAAGTTAAAACCTTTCAACTTTAGTGAAGCAACCAGATAAGTTGAAACGTGTCATATAGTAGTTTCCAAATACTTTCAACCTTAACTAGCAACCATTTAGTAAAAAAAATACACGTGCTGATTCTGACGCATCCTGAATTTTTATCTTTTAAATTTAAACTTGGTTTAATCTTCTAACTATGACTAGTTTTAAATAGAATTCTAGTGATATATGTATTAGTTTTTTTTTTCTTCTGAAATTTTTCAAACGTATCCTCATCTTTGGGACATAAATAACAAAGATAATGCGAATAAAGTAATTCCCTATTAACTAATTTCCTCTGTGGAGAAATTAAAAGTTACAAATTATTATTGAATTTTAAAAGTGAATGAAAAAAAACTAGCATATTACTAATTACGAATGTTTAAATATTTGAAAATTCAAAATTATATAGCTTGAACGCTAAGCTTTTTAAACTCATTTTGACAGATTTTGATAGATATTTCTTTGACAGATATTTCCGAGTACTAATGAAATTTTGAAAGCAAACGAAAGAAATTATTCTACCTTCAAATCACCTTTTTTCTGCTCTAGTTCTTCTTTCAGAACCTCAGCTATCAGCTCAACGCCTACTTCAAGTACATCGTCAATAATCTCCATGATAATTAAAAGAGTTTTTAGCAATAAACTTTATTGAAAAATATAAGTTCTGGTATTGGACTGTTATATATTATAATCGTCCTATACCAGTGCCGTTCCGGTATTGGACTATTCAGAGTTGGTTGAACAAGCGAAGGTTGTAACGTGTGATCACAAACGAGAAACCAAAAACAGGTTTCTTAACTTAGTTGCCTCCACTTGGTTGCCTAGTGTCATCAGCACTTAAGGAAAGCATCCCTGAAGATGAACCGAAAACATTGCAATTTTGATCCTCTTCACAGAGGATGACACCCCCGCTTCGGTAGCCCGATGATCTGTGAGCGAAGTCGAGCACTTTACAGTCGAACAGTTTAACGAGGACCAATACCGCACACTCTTGGTCCCTACGCAGTGTAATCCAAGAGGTCACCCATCCTCACACTGACCGCAATCAGTGATGCTTGACTTTAGTGATCTGCTGGGAATCGTGTCTTAATAATCAGTCCACTACGGAACGTTTTCGTGGTTAAATATTCGCTTGTGTGTAAAAATTTCCTTTGTTTTCCCAGATGGCGAATTCAAGCTTTGCAATCACGAATCATGAAAGTTGAAGTTTTAAAATTTTGAAACGTAATACTGAAGTCTTTCTAAACACTTCTACTTCCACTTTGTGATTGTTGGCATGTCAACGTCATCGTATTTTCCGTATTGATTCACTTTCTTGATTATTGGTGTTGGAGCTCCGAATCTTTTCAGCTTACTGCCACGTTCTGTAGATTTAATAATATTTGTGTGAAGAATACAATTCAAAATGGTAAATATGTAAACATATAAGACTTATTAAGTCTTTTATTTATATATTTTAACTTTCTTTGTTATTTTACCTTAATTTTAAAGTTTAACAGGCTCAGTAAATCCGCTATTTGCTATATTTTGATAAAAATAATTAAACAATATTGCAATGATTATCATAGTTAATTAGTTTGCTTTCGTATCATTTTATATTTCAAGAGCTTTTTTTTTTCATTTATATTTCGAAACTTATTAAGTATTACTCTTTCAACTCGTTATCAAAATTATATTTTAATAAATGACTAGGAACATATCTCTTAAATTCAGAATTGGAAAAATTATTCGATAAAATAGTTCTTATCTTACATTTATCAATGTTCTATCAATTTTAAGGATTTATATATCTTTTTTTTTTTGGTAATACTTTCTGAGGAATATACTGGCTAAAAATTGTTATGTACTGCATTTTTTTTCAACATAATTATTTTAAATGTTGAAAAAAGAGTTTCTGCAAAATAAATATTCAGGAGATATTTCTGTTTCGTGATTTGTCAATCCAACAGCAATCGCAAAGTTGCCAAATACATTTTTAACTTGTGAATTAAAAATAAAAACATTTGGATATTTATTCAGGGGTTGGCTTGGAGTTATGCGTTTCGAGTTGGTCTCCTGCTCCGCTGCCTGGAACTTGCTAAGACATGGCGATTGTTCTGTCATAAGATCATGATGTGGAAGATCACAATACAGAAATCTCAATATTCATGTTGTTAGATAGAAATTTATTAGCTACACTGTTTGAGTTATTGGCAGATAAGTGAACTTGAAAAGTTTGCTCAATTGGCACTGTGGACAAGACTTCTGTATTGGTATTTATACCCGAATAGAGTAGATTTCCATATCGTGATCTGTGGCAGAATAATCGCCAAGTCTTGGAAACTTCCGGACAATGGCCAGCAATAAACTTAAAGAAACAGAAAGGGACCAACTCAAAAGGTATAGCTCGTAGCCATCTGTGGCAAACATCGACATGTTTTTTAAAATTTTTTAAAAAAAATTTTAAATCTACTTGGCACTTTTGGCGATTGTAGCTGGTGCTCCAGATTATGATACGAAAATATCCCCTCGAAATAAATGCCAATTTTCAGTGACTATAAGACAGTGTCTTGTAAGAAAAACTAAAAATATAATAAAAATCAATGAAAGAGCTCGTAATTATCTATCTCCTCGAAAAAAAAAATCCTTAGAAAGGCTTAGTATGTTTTGTTTTTTTTGTAAAACGTAGGTTTTTTACAATCTTGTTTAAGTTGCCAATAAATATTATTTTCCTATTACTATGATTGCTTCAGATCACAAGTGTCAGTTATAGTTTAGTAATTTTATGATGGTAATGTAAAGTAAAATTTTTAACTTTTAACAAAAAACTTTAGAAATGCCATTGTTCCACATATAATTCGCATTGTAGTAAAGCAGCACAAGTACTGGTTAAGTAACTCACATTGTTTACAAATCTGTAAAAATTTCAGGATGTTTTATGAAAAAAATAATTATATTTTATTATAACTAGTATTTTTTAAATTTAAGAGTTTTTCTATTTATTTATCTTTTATTAAAATATGAAAGAGTTTATTTTAAGATAATGCATATTTTTCAAACACATTTTCAATGTATTCAAATATTTCAACTTTTTGAAAAACGAATTTCAAATTTCAGAATCATTTCTGGAAAAAGTAAAATTAATATTAAATTGTAAATTCTAATCAATAGTTATTAATGTGGTAGTTAAAGTTATGTTTTAAGCATATTTCAAGTTTGAATATTTTTAAGCAGGGATTTTCAAGATTGCTTGTAAATAATTTTGCATTTTTAAATATTTTCAGTTTTGAAACCCGCATCAGGATTAGAAATTAAATTTTTTTGTTACTTTTAACTGGGCTTCTATATTTAGCATTACATTTTATTGTTGATATAATTGACAATAACTAATAGATTAATAGGTCATTAACATGTCCTTGTTTGGATTTTTATTTAAAAGTAAAGTGTAAATGAGCAAAACAAATTAATAAAATTTTTTATCGACTTATTGAATGATGTACATGAAGCTTTATCTAAATCTAAATTGAATTTTAATACTTTTAATAGATTAAATACCATAGTGTCAACGAATTAATATCATTATATTAAATATTTATACCATATACCATAATAAAATGAATATAATGACTATACATTGCCATACATAAAGTGAATAAAAAGTTATAAGCACGTAAAATTAGATCAAATACAGTTGTAAAAATGTGCTGCTTTAGGATAAACATAGACCTAAACACCAGTCAAAAACCCAAATCATAGTTCTATTCCTTTACACTTGAATGACAATGATCAATTTGCTGATCTGATCATTATTTTGATGTTGTACATGTTAGATTATAAGAGTTCGAACCAATGTTAATTCCAAGTATTGAGTATGCGTGTAGGAACTGAATCCAATAAGTCTTTTCACTGTTTGGCTCCTACTATTTGTAATATAAATTATGATAAAAGGATATTTTTTGGTATAAAATTGACTTAACTCTGCTTAGTCAAACATGATATTTTTAATGAGTCCAGTATAATATCCACAATGTCTGCATTGTATTAAAAATTTTCAAACACAATAATTATTTTAAATAATGAATATTTTTAGCCTGCTCCATCTAGTGCTACATCTGTAGGTGCTGGTAGTAGATCGCCAAAGTCAATGGCTCCTAGAGCAGGCTCTGGGTCCACTGTGAAACAGAGGTTTGTTTATTTTTGTACCTGATTAATTTATTACTTATTTTTTTGTGTTGGACATAATTCTTTCAATAAGAAGTTTGTTTCATCTGTCTTCAAGTCAATTATATTTATAACGTCTATTGTAAGTATTGTTTGTAGGTCTAATAAAGAAGGGAATGTTAAAATATATTTTTTATTATATGGTGCTGTTTCATCAAAACCTTTTTATTTATGGGATTTACATTGTTATTAGCCAAATAAAATTTTTTAATCTTGATTTTTATTTATACAAGTGTTGGTTTTTTTGCAAAGGCAGTTTTTACGTAAAATTTGTGTTCCACACTCAATGCCGAAAGAAATAAGTTATTCATTGATCAAATGACTATATTTAAATTTTTTTTATGCATGTGTATATTTTTGGTTTTTTTCATTTAGATACAATAAATTCTTGATTATCCACAAAAATTAGATGACAAGACACGGGTTTACATTTATAAAATAGTAGAAAATCTTGCTTAAAAGAATTAAAAATGCATCTTTATATTTAAATAATGACATATTGGCAGTACTAAAACATTGTATTAATGCAAGAAATGTGTATTAAATAGAAACAAATAGGATCAATGTTTAAAGTACCATATTTGGACAAAGTATCATTGAACAGAATCTCCCACAGACAAAATATTGTAAAATAGAATAGAATGTATCATAGAATGTTGCGTAAAATATTGTAGGCATAGAATGGCATAGACTTACAAAATATTATAGGAAAAAATGGCTAACAGACATATATAATATTGTAGGATAGAAAGTCATGCATATATAATATTGTAGAATAAAATGTCATACAGGCTATGTATTGTAGGATATAATTTAATTGAGACATAATATTTATATGGGATAGGAGGTCATAAAAGCTGTTCTGAACTTTCAAACAAACTATTCTGAAACTTAATCATCTCATAAGTCATAAATACTGTCAGCAAAAATTTTGAGTATTACAAATGCAGGATGACTAAAAAACAATAAGCACTGATTCTAATTTAACTAAAAACTAAAACATTGATTCTATGTCATTTAATTTTACAGAGTTCTCCTTAGGAATAAAAAAAAGGGCAGGACATTTCCTCTGAAAAGGACATTTTGGATTTTAATTAGACAATCACTTAGCACTATTCAAATTTATCAAAATGTGTAATATTATGTACTATATGAATTTTATTCTCAAAAGTTTTTAAATTACCCTTTATACTAATTTATGTGTATATTTCAAAAAGTAATTCCCACTCATTATCAAAATAAGAGAAAAATTTTTAGTTTATAAAAATAAAGGTATGCTAAAAAGCAATCTTTGTGCATAATTTTTTCCAAAAAAATAAAGTTACAAAAAGTGATTAATTAATAAATAACTTTAAGGCTTTTTTCTCTAATATAAACTGAAAATTGTGAGAAAAGAAACATTTAAAAATTTATTTTTTTTAGAAGAAGGTATTTGTGAAAAAAAGTTTAAAAATCGCTTTAAAAATTTAATAATAACCTCCTGAAAAAAAAATACTTATTAAAATTTAACCAGTTGAGAATAATCCTAATAAAGTAAGTATTTATAATAGTAATCAGAATTAAACATATATACAGCCTCCTAATTTTACTAGTGTGTAATTATTATTTGAACAGTGAATAAATTTTTTTCAAAATGGAATATGGCAGTGTTTTTAAGGGATGGTGGCTTATTTTTACCACAAAGGCAAACAGGGCACATTTATTGGTGTCAAAGGGCAGGTTTCCCTTAAAAAAAAATGCTTAGGGGGAACACTGATTTTAATATGAAATATAAAATTTCAGTGCTTATTATTTATTAATTTAGTGCCTTAAGTGTCTCATTTTTTTATTTAATAGTAAATTCTTTCATAGTTTTATTAAGATTATTATCCTATATAGCATTAAGTAGTATATACACCTTAAAAATTGTGCTAATTTGAATTTCTTAAACAATTATGGCATATGTTTCAGTCCTTTTTACTGATAACTAGTTTGCACTGACTGATTGATAAGTATTAATAAAAATATGCTTAATCTTGAAAATCTTGATTGAAAATTTTATAAGAGTCTTTTTATGTTGAAATTTTTTTCTTCTAAAAATTCGCTGGAATACTTTTGAGGGAATTGAATCCCAACACTAATTATGATTGAATTCTGAAAAGTTTTATAGATCTAAATATTTTTTTCTCAGGAAAACTGGTGGTGCTAGCTCTAGTAACCGAACAAGAACAACTGGTGCAAACAGTGGTGGAATGTGGAGATTCTATACAGATGACTCACCTGGAATCAAAGTGTAAGAATAACTTTGTTCCTTTTTTTCTTTATCCTGTTCTATTATCTTCATTAGATACATATGGGCCTGATAGCAGAATTCACAGAGTCTATCTCAGGGTTTCCGCTACGGTAGCTTTTTTCGCAAAATGCGAAAAGACCCCTCAAAAATGCTAAAATTCAACAACGCATTTTTGCTAAAGGATTTTACTAAATTCCATTAAAAAAAAAGCTTAGTAGAAGATTAATATTGAGGGCCCTGAAAGTGCATTTAACTTTCTAGAAGCATTTGTAAAATGGGCAAACATGAAAGAAAGGAAGATTGTTAATTATAAACCAAAATGTTTTGATAAATAATAAATGTGTTTTTTTTTGTTATAGGTATTCTTTTTGATATTTTTGTACATTAAGCTATTCTTTGTCAGATAACTTACAGTACTTGTTTGATATAAAGTAATTTTATAAGCCTAATGGCATTTTAGCATTTTGCTAAAACTTTTTTTCAGATTTTAGCTTTTTTGCTAATGAATTTTTAGACTCAGCTTAAACCCTGGTCTATCTGCAGCAGAATCTTTGCAATTACTAATTCGTTTGTTCCAACAACGCAATCACCCAGGCTATTGTGATAACTAGGCTTAATCTTGCATGCATTAAGAATAATTTGCTTTTGTTTAGCTATTTAAAATAAACACAAAAATGTTTATAATGTTAAAAATTTATCTTGTTTTAAATCAGAATTTTATGAAATAATATGAAAAACTGGATGGTCTGAAACCAAGAAAAATATTATAGATAAATATGTCTTCTAAATTTTTATTTTTTTGATAAATTTATTTTTGTATTCCAATTAGTTAAATAAAATGATTTTGAAAAAAAACCAATTCTCTTTGATAAATATCTGCAAACTGCTTTTTTAGTTGCAAATTATTAAAATTTTTTGGACAGTTCAGACTTTTTTTGTATATGCAACAGTAATCTCAATTTGCAGCTTTTAAGATTACTTTTTTTTTTCAGATTTTAAATCATAAAAATTTTCCATCCTTTATTTTTCATCTATTATAAAAAAATTTTTCTTAATGCTCTTTAACTTTTATTTATTCAGTTATTATTTTTCTTTCATTTCCCTCAGCAATTCTCTCTCTTCTCTAAATCTTAGATAAAAAAAATAAACCGTTGATGAACAGCCGACCTAATTTTGGGTTTACGACTTCTTATGTTCAATTTCGTAGTCTTGTAATTTTGAAACCTATCTAGAGGACAAAGAAACTCCCGAATAAGTACCCCCAGAGGTATAATTTGTTATGGGAACACGGAGGACTTTGTGACTTGACAGATTTAACGTTTGTCTGTCACCATTTGCTACACAGGGAGTCTTTGGCCGGTGGGGACTCAATACCAACCAGGCTGTCCCAGCCCTAACCGGCTGATGTTGTGATAATATGTAACACCTGTGCCGGGATAGCCTGGTTGGTAGGGCATTGGGCCCATGTCCAAGAGGCCGTGGGTTCGATCCTTGTTGGCCGAAGACTCCCCGTGTGCTGAATGATGACTGATGCACGTTTAATCTGTCAAGTCACAAAGTTCTCCGCGTTCCCATTGCAAGTTATACCTGTGTGGGTATTGATCCAGAAGTTTTCTTGTCTTCTGGATTGTTTAAAAATTACAAGGCTACGGAGTTGAACATTGTAGACTCAAAGAATTGGGTCAGCTGTTCAACGATGGTTATGAAATATAAAATAAAAAGTATGTAGCATCTGCTGTCGTCAGAAGTTTCTGCTACCAGGCATATGGGTTATATAATTGATATGTCTTATGATGTGCAGTTTTTTGCATTTGTTTAAAACACTTGTGTTAGTGTAACTTATAAATATTTGAAACAATCTATATTTGCTGCAAATATTTGTATGTTTTATTGTGTGGCTTAGGTAGTTTTTGTTTTTCTCTTAAGTCTTGTAGTTTTACCATAAAATTGAACATTTAAATAAATAATAATAAAGAAAATAATATAATATTTATGATCTAGTCACTTTATATTGAAAAATAAAGGCCGCTGCTGCTATTACAGTGATTATGATGAAATAAATTTATTATTCAATTAATTGTTTGAGAATTATTGCCTGTTAAATTTGTTGGAAAAAGTACCATACAGAGCACTCTATAGAATGCTGGAATGCAGTTACAGAGTTGAAATTTGGTATACTCAAAAGGCCATATTTTTATATGAACTTGAACAAAATTTCCTTTAAAGTTTTAATTTGTGCAAATGTTACAATTTTTGTGTGCTTTTTTTGCAAGTTTGTTTTCTCCCTTTCTTTTCCCTTTACCTTACAGTTTTGCTTTGCTGCTCAAAATCTGTGTAACTTAAATGCTTTAAATTACGAAGGTGTCTAGAAAAAATTATAGAAAACTCGACGGAATAAAAAAAAACTAGATTCAGGAATGGGTTTGAAAATTCTTAATGGTTAAAATTGTTGCAAAAAAGCAATGTTGGTCAATCTACTGTCTGCTGCAAATGTAACTACAGATTTCAAATTTGATTTGCTAATATTATTTTGGATTATAGTTTTGACTGAAGTTTTTTTTTTCTTCAAAAATTCCTATATTTTAGGAAATTGTTGTGCATTTAAGTGCTTTTCTCCATCCCCCAGCTTTTCTGCTTACAATATTGATTATTTTTCCATTAAATTAGAAAATTTATTTTTTAACTCTCATGATCTTTATTTTATAAGCTTCAGCTTGAGTGCATGTCAATCAAAATTAGCAAAAGACAAATTACATGTTGCCAGACATAAATCTGAACATTCATAGTAAAATTTTAAAAATGGGAAAAACTTAATAAAAAGTAATGAAAACTGTTTATTTTAATTGTTTTAAGTCTCTTCAGCAAATAATCTTACTTTGCATTTATTTATCCTTATTGAGTTTTACCATCCTGTATATTTTAGGTTAAATTTTTTTAAGTTCTGTTGATTATTTTTTTAGTTGGCATATTTATCTATTTCTTTGCAAATAACCCAAAATGTTTCTACATCAAGCTTCTTTATTTGTTTATTTTGAAACCATAATGTTGTGGGTTTTTGTGGGAAATATTTACTTACGTTTATGAAAAAATAAATGATTACTGTAAAGCAATTACAGGATTGGCCAACATAGTTATGTATCTATATTACTATAATTAAAAATAATGACAATTCAAATGGAAACTATAAGTAATTAGATAAATATATATTTTGTGTTTTACAACTTATTAAATATAATGGCAAAGCATTTTTGATCATTGAATAATTTTCTTTTCTTTAAAGTTATTAATTTAGTTTTTATACCTATTTTCTTAAGGAGGATTTACCTACCACTCCCAACTTACTAATATGAAAGTGCAAAATGAAAAAAAAAAAAAAAATTATTAGAAAGTAAAAAAGTTCAAACACAGTACTTTTCATGATGAAATCCAGACCACCTAGACCCCTTATTTAATAAAGTCTTATCCTCACAATCAATAGTGTTAGCACTAATATATTTAATGATAAATAGTGAGTCTGAAAATTTTCAATGAAAGGCACAAGGCTCTCACATTTTTTATTGCGTCTGCATTTGCTCATTTTAGCTTTTTTGAGAGTTAAATAAATGATTTCATGTGCAAATTGCTTGTCCCTTACTTCTTATATATATCACTGTAGAGTGGGAAATGTAAAAAAAAAAAAAAAAANTCCTTGTAACTGTAATAAATTTAATTAATATAATAATTAAAAGTAAGGATAATTTAAACAAACCTTAAGTAAGTAAATGGTTATATATTTGGTGCTTTTTGAAAGTTATCCTTAATTTAGTTTTTATTTTCTTGAGAAGGATTTTCCTAAAACTTTAAACTTACAATTGTGCAAAAAAAAAATTATTAATCGCCGATTTAAATTATATTAAAAGGTAAAAAAGTGGTATGCAATTGTTTTCATGATGAAATTAAAACCACCTAGGTCAGTACTGTTATGAGAAGGAAAAAAACTTGTAGTTTATTGTTTATGTGCATAAATTGTTTAGATAGCTTATATATTATTTATAATTATCTAACTGCACATCTATTTGCATTCAATATATTAAGATGTATACAACAAAAGGTGAATTTTAAAGGTATCAGAAGCTTATGCCAATATTTTTCCCTTAAAGGAAAAAAAAGAAAGATTTTTTGCAATATAAAATTGGATTATTATTTTTGAGGTGCAAAATACAGAGTTAAATTAAGTCAAAGCTGTAAAAAAAAATTTCATTACCAAATATTTTAATGTTGAAAATGTGTAGTCTATTTTTTATTTTTCATGTATTAGTTAATGAGAAAGTTACATAGAAAATAGTAAGCACAATAAACAAGTCATAATGATTAGTTCATGCTAGTTTAAAAGATTTTTGTTTTCAATTAAAGTTAATTTTGAAACCCAATAATTTATTTTTCTAAATTGCTTAAAATAAAAATTTAAAAAGCAAAAAACGAGCAGAATCAATGTAATAAGCACAAATAAACAAGGCATAAAGTAATTTTCATTTTTGTAAATTTACGTTTATAATTCTGAAATTTTATCCCAGGAGTAAATTCTTTTTTTTAATAAATTAATTGTTTACGATAAAGCAATAAAATTCCTCATTGTTTTATCGTAAACATTTAATGTAATTAGTAGAATATTTAAGAAATTGTCATAATTTTAATTTTATATTTTTTATGTAACACATTTCTTGATGATTCAATTTGTTTGAATGTTAAGTAAACATAATATTCTTTTTCAGTGGCCCAGTTCCAGTTTTAGTTATGAGCCTTCTTTTCATTGCATCTGTATTTATGCTGCACATTTGGGGAAAATATACCAGAGGTTGAATCCGGTTAAAATAAACACTAATCAAAATTTATTCTCAAGTAATATTATTCTCATTCCATTTAAGACTTCACCTATTTTGTGTACACTTTCCTTGTAACTGTAATAAATTTATACCTTCATACAAATTTATTGACCATTTTTTTATGGAAAAAATTTTGTATTAAATATTTATTTCCTTTGTTTTTATTTCAAAACTATGCATCTATGATGTCAGATTTTATATTAAAAATTATGCTAAGATGTTATATGTGTACATAAAATAAAAATAAAAAGTTGAATTTTATTACTTTAGTGGTTTGTTGCTTGTTGAATTTCTTTGTCTTATAACCTTAACTTGATAGAAGTATTTGGGTTGTTGCAGTACACGAGATGTTCACAACAATCTAAAGAAAGTTAAAAAAATCAGCTTTAAAATTGTCCTTGTTATGGTTTTAAAAATAGAAGTAAGAAATAGAAGAATCAATTAATATGAGCAAAGCTTTCTTAATTTTCTTTTTGATAATACAGTAGGGAACAGATTATCTTCAACGATCGGGACCATCGCTATTCCGGATAACTGATTTTTCCGGTTTTCTGAATCGCTACAAAAAGCTGTTTTTTTAATTGTTAAACCCAACTAAAAAGAAAAAATATTTGGAAAATAATCTTAAAAAGAAGAAAAAACGATGAAGTAATACAGTAATGATTATTTCTAAAATGATGGTATGGTAAACATCTTTCAAAAAAGAAAGAAAAATCCTAAAATCTTATGAGGAAAAATTAAAAAAAAAAGAAATGGCGGGAGAATTAACGAATTTCGTTCCAGTTTTTTGGTTTTCCGGTTTCTGATTTCCGGATAATAGGTTCTGTACTGTATTAGCTGTGTCAAGCAAGGTACTTTTCCTGTTTTTTTTTCTTCCCTCAGTCAAGAGGTATTTAAATCGACCATAGTTGTGTAAATATTTGATAATTTATTTATAACCTGTTTGAAAAATTTTCAATTAAAAGTAATTTCTCTACTGTAAAAATAAGATTTTGTACCAGAAATATGATGTAGCGGAAGTTAAAGCTAATTCAGCTTATGACATAAATAAATCAAGTACCAAGTGCAGCTATCATAATTTTTAAGTTAATTATTTCACTACATATATAGATAGTTTACACTAATATTTTATGCAGTAGATACTTTGAGTTGTTGATTAATTTTATGGCCGAAGATAGGAAAAAGAAAAATCTACGATTTCCAGAAATTGTCACTTGATGCATGGTGTGTTAACTAAGAAACTTTTTTATGTATCTTTTGGTTCTTAGCCAATCAGGCTTTTTGGTGGGACTCTCTTAACTGCATTTGAATATAGAAAATCCTAATAAGGTATAATATATATATATTTTTTTACCATATTCGGTGATATACTATTAACCTTAATTCAGTGATAGCATACTATTTTAGTGAGGAAGAAAAAAAGGTAATATGAATATAATAAATGAAAATACTAATTAAAATTAAGAAAATCTAATGCATTTTCTGCCTGTAGGAAAAGTTTGAGGCTGTGATGAGATGAACTGTTCAGGCTAAATAGGCTGAAAATATATTTCTTTTTTTTTTTTAAAATCTATAATTAAACTGAGAAAGAAGGGTACAAACAGGCAATTTGATGAATGTGCAATTATAATTTCAGCTGTTTATGAGTTTTTTATTAATTAAAACTTAATTTTTTGAATTGAAATTTCTTTAACTAAAATATTTTTTATTTAGTACATGTCTTTAAGCTGTTCACTCAAAATAAAATGCATGCACCTTACTTAATTTTATTTAAAAAATGTACAATATCACCAACTAAATGTTAAGATTATAGAATTTAATCACTAAATTATAAACTATAATTTTTGTTACAGTTCTTAAAAGTAATTAAGTTTTCCATGAATAGAATCTAAAGTTACGAGAATTTTTGCATTTTATTTGATATTTACATTTTTTTGTACCCTTATTTAATTTATTAATGCACTGTTTTGTTATGGTTCTTAGAAGCAATTAATGTTTTTTTCATAAAATCTTTTTAATAATGTTTTAATTGTTCTTATTTTTCATTTGTTAGTTATTTTTTCTTTTCTTACAGTTCATAGTATTTTAATTTTGGTGTCCCAAAGAGAAATAATTTTTTAGATCCAATAATGAATCAAGTTCTATTTGTAAAAATTAACACAGATAAAATGGATGTGCAAAAATGATGACAATATATGAGTATAATCAAATATGTATTAACTCTTTAACCAATTGTTTGTTAAAATTTAAAAAAAAAAAAGAGAACTTAAATGTTTTACCTCAATTAAGTTTTTAAGCAGATGCTTTTCAATTTTTAACAGGAGAGAAATATTCTCTCAAGTTGTTGCTTTTATCAGTCCACTGATTACCTTTTTATACAATAATATACACACTACATTTATACTGAAACATACTTACATTGTATGAGCATTCCCCCTGCCCCCCTATTGAACTTGAATTCTTGACACTCAAAATAAGTAGATAGTCCCGATCTGGAAAATATGATTCTAATAGTTTAATCAAATGAGAGATTGACAGCTAGTGCACATTAATTTTTTTTTGCACAGTAAAATTTTATTTATCTCATTTATTTAACAATTCAGAATGTATTTAGGAAAATTTTCAATTACTGTTATATTGAATTCATCAGAATAGTTTACCTAATTGGTCAGAACAGTGACATCTAGACTAGTTCTGAATAGGGGTCTGGTGCATGCATGAGCTGAAAATGAATAAAATAGGCTGAATAATAATATTTTGCGAAAAATAACTATTATGGGAATGGTCATAAGAGAAACATAATTCTTTATTCTAGAATTTAATTATTTCATTTTAAATTGTAATATTCAATGAGAAATAGCACTGAAATTTTTTATCGATGCATATCCTTTTCATAATGTATTCGGTGTTATTCAAGGAAATATTTTTTTTAAAAGAATTTTTATTAGTATTTTGCTTGAATAAATTATGTATGTCGAAATTTTTTTTTCTTTGGATATAAATGCAATGACAGATTTCAGAAACATCACTTGTTAAAAAAAATTTAAACTCTTGCATCCCCGGTGATATTTTCACGGAACCCTTTTCCCTTCCCCGGAACAACATTTGGGAACTGCTGTGCTAAGCCAATTGGAGAGTAATTGAAAGACACTTGTTACAAGCACCTTCAAGTTTGATCAGGCAATCAAACTAATCTTTGTATTTTCAATCCTGCCTTTTTTAATAGCAATACGTTTTTTCTTCTTCTGTGCTTGAATATTAATTTGTGATCTCTAAAATGAATACTTTTATATAGATTTTAAAAATATATACTAAGTGCGGTCATATGGAACACCTTGTATAGTTTTAGAATTGTTTATCAGTTTTTATAGTTCATGTAAGTAGTAAGGGATATAACTCTTCGTACAGACTCCTTATACTCCTTAGAAACTCCTTGGGAATAAAAAAGTCTCCAAGGAGTACTTGGAACTACTTAGATTTCTAAATTAGTCCTTAGAAACTCCTTAGATTATTGCTTTGCATAGATGAACTTACTTAGTCCGCTGATGAATCTGCTGTCCAAGCAGGGAAACGAAATGGTATGACTTAGCTGTCAAAATCCAGTAGTTTAAGAAGAACTTTAAAAGGAAAAAAAATTGAATTGCAAGAAGAAAGAAATAAAAACAGAAGAAATGTTAGAAAAAATAAAAACCGCAAATAATTTAAATTTTACAAGTTACAAGCAAACTTAATGATTTACTGCAATTTTTTTTGTTGTTTTAAATGCCATAGATTTTCTTATATATTCAAATTTAAAAATATAAGATTGGTGGGTTTTTATGTTAATCTTTAACATCTGTACTTTAACAAGATTTATTAAAATATTCGAAACTGGAAAATGTATTTATGTGTGAAAGTGATAACTTTATTTATTTTTCTTGATGAAGTTTAACAAAGTCAAAATTTATTTCAAAGGGGCTAGAAAAAATATCTTATGCAAAATATAAATTTTTGCAAGTTCTTTATAATAACTGCGTTTTAATTAAAAAAAAAAAAAAACTGTCTAGTTATCTTTTATACAAAGTTTTTAAATTTTGGATTTCTGCTGATCTCTGTATGAACCTTTTGTAAGGACTTTTGAGGTATCTCCCCTCACTATTTTTATACTTCTGTTTTTTTTAAAAAAAAAAATCACTTTTATATTTCTCTTGATTCATCTTATGAATTTGCAGGTTTTTAGATAATAATTATTAATGTATTGGAAAATAGTCTTATTTTAGTCTTTTAATTCGATTCTGATTTATGAATCGGCATGTGCTTATAAATTTGTTCGATGGTGAGTTTTTCAAGAATAAAGTCTGTGTTTTTAATATAAGCTTTTTAAAAAAATTTGAAAACTTACTATTCAAATGAAAGAAATGTGGTTGTTAATTTTTTTTATCACTGACTCAATAGTATTAAAATTTTTGTATAACTAAAATTTCTTTAAAATTATACTTCACATGTCTCATATTGCAAGAAAATCAATGGCTTTGCAGGAGGTAGAAGGACAAAATTGTTAATATTAACAACTTCAACTGTGTTATGTTCCCTTTACAAATTGATCATAATAATTTTGTCACCCCTTAATTTATTTTTCGCTACATTTCTCTACAACTCGATTCACACTTTCTTTAATTATTATTATTTTTTTAAAATAATTTTTTTTAAAAAATCTTAGCATTTGAAATTATATGAATTGGTTTAGTGTTAGGAACTACTTTTTTATATTTTCAGTTTTTTTAAAGTCTTTAACCTTGGACGATTTCATTTAACGCTAGATTGCCAAAGGAAGTCATTTTGACTTTTAATTTCAATTAGAAAAACAATGATGTATATAATGACACAATTTCTTAGAATTTTGAGACTTTTTGTATAACATATAATTTTTTTTATTATTAATATTTACTAGTAACTTGTTATATAACAGTAAATAATGTAAGAAAAATATTAAAAATTAATTTTAAGCAAATTTCTTCACACATTATTCTTTTACAATCCAATCATTTTAACTGCCTTTGGGCAATATAGGTATATACTAAGTTTCAGTCTTTCTAGTGTTAAAAATAGTTTCTACCAGTTCTT